GTATCTAATGCTCCGACACCATATTGCAGTGTAATTCCATCGCACCTAATCCTACTGACACTGCATCGCATATCTCGGGGTGATAGAACATCGGATAGGCCCATCCGATACAAATATCTTGGCAGTGTGTGGTGTTGCAAAAATAGTCTAGTTAGTTATATTATCACAAATATATAGCAATACATTATCATTAATCATGATCAATCCTTGAAAATAGTTTGAAATAGTTTTTCAATTAGTTTTTTTTTGAGCCCAGAGGAAAATCTGAATTTTTTGATTGGGGAAGATAGCCTAGTTTTACCTAAACAAGAGAGTATGAAAACATAAGACAGACACCTTTCATTAATACATACAAGTATGTTTATAAGGATGATAAAAAAACACCCTTTCATGATAGTATAAATAGCTTTGAATACTCAAATATATTGGTGTATAAAACCTTCTCAGCCAGTTTCCAAGCTTGTAAGGGCCAAAGTAGCTTGGGATGTTTGTATAAAAGGGCTCTACAACTTGCATCTTTGGCTGTATGAGCTGTTTTGGTCAAAGTAGGCTTTATGACTTAAAACAAGTAGTCTAAATTTAGTGAAAAGTAAAAAATAGCTGTGGTTAGGTATTGGGTATGGAATTATTGACACAGAAGAGTGGTTATATGTATTGGAAAGGAGGGGAATTACTGGTGTAGGAATGAAATGCTTGGATTTCTTTTGGTGTGGTTCATTCAGGACATATGGAGTATTCTGATGTGTGTCATTCATTTGTCATTAGGAAAACTATATGCAGGGGTCACCTTGAAGCTTAGACAAATAATCAAAATTTTAGAGAAGAAGGAGATGAATTGGGATATGGGGCTCTTTTCATTGAAACACCAGAGGTAAAGGACTGATAGCATTCTGAAGACAAGAAGCCATTTTTACAAATTTTGAAAGATTGACACATGAATAGAGAAACATTATACCAAAGGGGTTTAGAAATAGTAGTGTGGATAACATGAGATGGATTGTTTTTATGTATAAAGTCTTAGTGTGGTTTTGTGGCTTGTGCATGTGTTTTTTGTATGTGCTGATTGACAAATAGGTGAATGTTTTGTGGATGTTGATAAAGTAGATTTCTGTGAGGTCCCTGGTTTGTTTCATTTAGTTTTTTTATTTGTAGCAAAGGTACCTTTTTTTTTTTTTATTTTTTTTTTTTTATTTAGTTGTAGCTCTTGAGTATATAAGCCAACCAAGTAATTAGTTCCTATCTACTGCTTTTTTTTGGGCCATTGGACCTGAATGATAGCATAGTTGCTTTTATTTTGCATAATTTGACATGGTGTCTTTTAAAGTTATTTAGTCCTCCAAGTTTGGAAAATTTAGTCCTGATAGTGTTATACTGTTGGTGATCTTAGAATATATAGCTTTCATTTCTGAATTTTGAGCTTTTTGAGCTATTCTGCTCTGTCAGTATGTGTTGTGTGTTAGTATCTAGTAAAAAAAAAAAGATCTGTCCTTTAGTCTATGGACTTGAAGATAGAAGAGTTGTAAGAAACTGTGAAGGTATTTTGGTGTTACTGATACTTATACTCAAAATTATGAGTGTATTTGTTGTGTTTCCTCACTTCCAAGATTTTCCAGCAGTCTAGCACTATTGGAGTTCCAAAGCACTGCAAAGGGTTTTGGGCTACCAAGAGTTGGATATGGGAAGGGCAAAGGAATGGCCAAAGGAATCAAAAGCCTTGGATTGGGCTTTGACATGTTGGATTCATCCATTTGGAGGTCTTCTTGTTGAAGTTCCCTACACATGTTAATCACACTTTTGTCTCACCTCTTCTATATGCTTCTCATATGTATATCACTTCAGTGACATGTTACATGACAGTTTTACTTTCCCTTCTTTGTACACTGGGGCAGCACTTGTTGAAGGATTTTCTCATCTTTTCCTCATGCCCTGCTGCTCCAGAGAGTCAACCTTAACACTGTTGAAATCCAGTGGTGCACGTACATGATGATTAGTTAGTGGAATATGTTTAAAATGAAACTGATCCAGTCCTTACTCCTGACGTGTCAAACCAACAACTTGCTCTTTCCCTATTCAAAACTCAATAGGGAAAGAGTAAGTCATTTCTTTTATTTTATCTCTCTCTTCACCTTGTATGTTTCTATTCACCTGATCTGATCAAGCTTGGCATTTACACTTGTAGAATAGAATTCCTTCATATTACTCTATCTAAAAGTGTCCCAG